CAGATCCGTGATTACCGCACGACCGTCCACAAGCCTGACCATAGCCATAGGCGCCACCTGTCTGAGCTCTCTTACGTGTAGTTGTTTCCTAACTTCTGCTGTGTGTTTGGGACCTGGGATGTGTGATATGAGGGTTCAGACTACCAGGTTGTTGTTCACCTTTTTTAGCAATCCTAGGAGTGCGCAGGTAAAATGAACAACAATCCTGCTGCTCACATATGTCCTCTTATAAGGATGAACTGTGATAAAGCGCTTTGTGACCTGAAGGATTCTTTGGCAAGAGAACAGGATGTTCTGGATCAACGTAAAGTCTTGCTGGCTGCGGATGATAGGCCGTGACAGCAAGTTGTGTTCGAAGTTCTCCACCTATTGTTGAAGCGGGTGAACGACAGGATTTGATGGAAAATGACTGATACGAATGATACGGTACAGTCTTGTCGCTTGCCCGGCGCAATAGCTGGTGGGAAATGGGCCGGCGCTGCGCCAACCCTACTCCCATGACACGTTCCGACATCCTCAGCAAGCAAGACTGTGCAAAGGGGTGTTGAGTAGCATTAGGGGGGGCTATACGCATTAGGGGCTTAGAAACACCGCAGACATTATCGTTCGAGTATACCACGCATCTTCGAACCCATTTCGGTTCCTGAAGCCCTTAATATGATGGCAGAAGAACTTACAGAGCGGCCACCAAGTCTAGCAGGCGGCAAGGTGAGAAGCGTCCGGCTAATGCCGTTTGGACGCGCTGACTTCTGGCTGCGAGCTCATTTTTAAAGTGCCTAGATCACCAAATCCGCTGAAAACTTGTATATAGGGTAATCTAACATCCTGTTCACAAATATGACATTCATTCTGGCGCTGGCGCTAATGGAGGGCACTACGATTATCTTCTGGGTTCGGCTTTAAGGCAGATAATTGTATTGTCATTAGCGCCAGCGCCAAGAATGAGTGTCATAGCATCAGGATGTTAGATTACCTCTCTATACAAGTTTTCAGCAGATTTGGTGATTTAGGCACTTTAAAAATGAGCTCGCAGCCAATAAGTTGGCGCGTCCAAACGGCATTAGCCGGAGCGTCCGACTGCTTTCTTGTTGCCAGCCGTCTATTCAATTTGTTGGATTGCTAATCCAGTATCAAGGGCTATTCGGTTTCATTACAATGATGTTTCCTTCTGTCCAATGTGCTGCTGTGTCTATGGCACTGTACTGCACATTGGACAGGTGGGTGTAACTATTTACGACCACACAGGGCAGGAATGGTACCAGGAAGCACTTGTGAGTCAGGCGGAAACGCCGCGAATTCCTGGCATCACTTTTGAAAGTCTAAATGTGCACTTTCATTGATAGCGATCAGTACAGCTACTCCATTAATCAGTGATCTTATCAGAATAGCCATTCCGCTTACTAGTGTCCCCAATACTCGTCAAGCTTACAGGAATTGTAGCAGCCAATAACTTTTGCTTCCAATAGCCGGACTTGCAGGTAGACCTCGGATTTACCATCTGCAAGCGCTAATCTGCTAAGGAGATAGATCGGGCATTTTTCTACGTTCGCTCCCTTCTTTTACTAGTTCTTGTTAATTTGTACGTTTTGTATTCCCCCACAATCCTCATCCGCCAGCCTCATCGTGGCGCTGGGGCAACCGACTGTGAACGGTTTTGGACTGTTCCCAAAAACGTACCAATGCGGAGGGTGCCACGTCAGAGCCTGGCGAGCTACGCGTGGTTAAATTTTCTTCTCGCCGAAAACGTAAAGAACTTCATAGGGCTCATTCCCTGAAGACTGAGGAACACCGACAGGGGCGACAGTCGGCTGGGACCGCTCGGACTACGGCTGCCTGAACGAATCACAGGGCCAACGGAGTTCTTGACGTCGCCAGGACTTTAGGATGACCGATCATGTCACTCTTTCAACGCACGGACGCTTGCATCGGAAGCTCACATCGAAGATCTGATGTTGCAAGCCAGGAAGATCAAGTACGACGTCATCGGACTGACCGAGACGAGGAGGCATCGCCCGCTACACGCCGTGTACGAGACTGACGAGCAAGGAAAAACTGTTCCTCGGAACATGCGACCAGCAGAGGGACGCTTAGGCGGTGTGGGGTCCTCGGTCATACACGCACCGTCCTGCGCCATAATCGATTCGTTATACGACAGTCTGAACGACCCGAATCCGGCGAGAGTTTCGCGACCTTTGCAGAAGATGTGGGTTCAACTCCAGCTTTGACCAATCTTCGTCGTCCTACCGCCACCAACATCAAAGCTACGACGAGGATGAATAGATCGCAACAGCGTCTATATGGAATTGGAGAAGTTCTACAAGGAAGATCATACCTTCTTTCAAGGTCATCGTCGGTGATTTCAACGCTAAGATCGGACCAAGAAGAACGGCTGAAGAACTTCACATCGGAACTCACGGAACGGAGTGGAATGAGCAGGGTGAAAGGCTGTCTGAGTTTATCCATCGTCACCCTACCATCGCATGGTACCTCGCCCAGCTTCCAGAAGCCCTACTGCTCTAACGTTGAGACATGGGACAGTCTCCTGAGTGGCACAACTTCATAACGAGCAATCGACCACATCCATCTCCAATACGAAGGTTTCTGCTGACCGATGTCGCTGGTTCCGTCACCTAAGTTCTACACGAGGATCGCGACCATGTTCGTTCTCCTTCGCAGCAAGCATTTGCGCTTTTGGTCGCGTATTGACGTAGGAGAAGAGAGCCCAGTCAAGAACGCGAAAGCCCCCAAGACCACCATCAACTGGGATCACTTCACTTCTCTCGCTAGGCTCTGGGAGGATTCTGTCATCGACAACATCGACGAGGAATACGAACGGCTTGTTGTGCACATCTTCACGACATCGGCGCAAGAAGTAGAGGGTTCCAAGATTTACCAAGAAGCGTCTTATATCTCTGGAAACTCTCGAGCTGATTCGCCAACGTGGAGCCGCACGAGCCGCAGGCAATTACCAGCTGACGTCTGAGCTTGCGAAGCTATGCAGAGAAGCGATAAAGGAAGACCTCAAGGAGAGAAGAGCAGCAGTACTGGTGGAAGCCGCAGAGGCTGGGACATACGCAACGCCCGCGCGACATTCTCAACTGTAAAGACTCAGGCATGATCCCGGCCCGTCCGACTCGTCGGATGCGTAACATACACCCGCAATCGCAGAAACTGAGGGGCAATGCGGAGAAGCGTGCCTATCCCACGACTTCTTACTCGCGAAGTCTCTCTTGAGCAGCCTACGTACCCACCTGCATACATTACCGCAGAGAGGATATGGCGTTACCTGCCAGTTCTCCATTCGAAAGTCCGGACACGCCACTCTCGGTCGGTGAAGATCCGTACGTGCACCGGTACCGACAAGGATCAGACCGAACAGATGAGAATCTTCGCGCCGAAGTTCTCAATCAAAGCTTCTGGGCCTCGGAAACTCTTCACGCGCTACCTGTCGGAATGCAAGGTACCCACCTCGTGGAAAACCAGCAAGACTGTGTTGCTGTACAAGAAGGGAGATCTGTACGACATTGGCAATTATCGCCCAATCTGCCTGCTGTCTGTAGTCTACAAACTCTTCACACGAGTCATCCTGAATAGGATTGGCAGAACACTAGACGAAGGACAGCCATGCGAGCAAGCAGGGTTTCGAAGAGGATTCAGCACGATCGATCACATCCACACGGTAACGAAGCTCATTGAAGTATCGCGAGAGTACAAGATGCCGTTATGTCTCACGTTTATCGACTTGAAGAAAGCCTTCGACTCCGTTGAGACAGAAGCGGTTATCGAAGCCCTGGGCAACCAGGGTATTCCTACTCAGTACATCAGGATTCTTCGTGAGCTCTACAGCAACTTCACGACCAAGGCATTTCGCCATTCTACAAGAGATCCATCATTGATGTGAAGAGAGGGGTCCGACAGCGACACCATCTCGCCCAAGCTCTTCAGCGCCTCTCTCGAGAACGTCATGCGTCAACTGGAATGGGAAGACATGGGAGTGAAGATCGACGGTCGGCAACTACACCATCTCCGCTTTGCTGACGACATCGTTTTGATAACGCCAAACATCGAGCAAGCGGAACGAATGCTGGCTGAATTCGACTGCGCGTGTGGAAGAATCGGTCTACGGCTGAACCTAACGAAGACGATGTTTATGAGGAACGGATTGGTATCTGAATTGCCCCATGGCGACGCTCAACGGAACGACCATCTCTGAATGCTCTAGCTATGTGTACCTAGGTCGTGAAATCAATATGATGAATGACCTAGCTCCAGAGCTGAGCAGGAGGAAGCGAGCGGCTTGGGGAGCCTTCAAGAACATCGAAGGAGTAGCGAAGAAGACGAAGAACACCAAGCTCCGTGCCCACCTCTTCGATTCGCGGT